TTGTCTGTGTACGTGACTTCCTACTGATGTGTCATGATATTGCAACAATTTTCTGTATTCATGTATTTTTTAAATTTTAATTTGTCTATATGTTTGCCAATTTTCCTACCCACTGTATAAGAAAAAAGGCAGCTTCTTTTAGGGGATGCCAACAAATACACTGTAAGCTTTGGATGAATGTATATGTTATTTATATAGCTATACAGTATATATATAAAATCATATGTATATGTAATTTTTCTCCTCAATAGTATCCAACCATGTACAGTACAGACCCTGAAAATGGGCATATCTTTAATTGTATCCAGAGGGCACACCAGAACACGTAAGTAGTCTCTTATTGCATTGTGCTCATTCCCAGTTTCTTCCAGATTTGGTGCCTAGACGACATCTGAATTCGACTGCACATTAGAGAGGAATTGGGGAAGCCAGAAATCTATATTGGTTACTTTGATGCAGCACTCATGATATGCCTTTTCTTCTAAGGTCATAAATGGGGCAGGCTGCCATGTTGCTTGCTCTGTGTTTGGACATCAGGAAATGCTACTATTGGTCATTTGGATGTAATTCTAGACAGCTGCAGAGCACCTGCTTGGGAAGACAGTTGACCAAGAATATATTATGCAAAAAAAACAACAACCCAGAGCAAAATTATAAATTGAAAGATGAATCTATTTGTGTTTACTATTATGTTTGTAGGCAAGTTAAAGGTATTAAAGGATAGCAGAATCTTCTGCTTCCTTTTTGTGAATGTTAGGTTCTGTATAACGTTCAATTGGAGGTAAATGAGTAAAACCCATTAATGAAGTATACTTAAAAATCTCTGTGTTTTTAGCTTGGAAACATATCCCTCCTTCCTGTTCTTTCTTGGAATCAGTGGGATCTACTACCCGGTAAGAACAATATTTAGGTCTGGATATGATTAACAACTTGTTCAATGGAAGTTGGTGTGCTTTTAAACCCAATAATGCTTCTTAAGGCAATATAGTAAAACTAGAGGCAGATGAATTAAAGTTATATATTCAAACCCATCCATCTTTTAGTTATAGCTCATAATTTGTATTTGTATAGTATTTTATTCTTTTTAATGTTTTATTCCTAATGTATACATGTTGTTGTATTTTTTATTATTCGATGTTGTAAGCCCCCCAGTCACCACATGGTAAAATAGGCAGCAAACAAATTTAATAAATAACTTTCTTACAATAATCAGCATCTGACGTGAGTGTAAAATATTGCCTCCTGATTTGTAAATTGTTTTTTAAATTGGCACTTATATTGCAAAAAAAAAATACAGGAACTTATTGGTAGCTTGAATTAGCTTCAATTAGCCATAATTAGACCAAAGTTATTGGTCTAAGAAACTAGAAGATTGTCTATGAAATACATTTTTTGGATTGATAATGATGACAGCTATTGCCAACATATCTTAGGAACATGGATCAGACCACAAAAAGTTGATCTTTTTAACCAGTGAATGTGCTCTGTCATGATCAACATAAATCCACGCTGTTAAAGAAGCTCACAATGTAACTTGATAAAGACAAAGTTGGAAAGAAAGGTAAACATTATACAGGGTAAAAGAGAGCAAGTTTAATTGGATTGATCAGGTCACTTCAGTTTTGCACTTGCCTAATAAAGGGTGTTAAAAGGAATCTGGAGCAAATTGAATAGTGGAGTAAGCTTTATATTTTGTAACTCTATTTATTTACTTTTTTGGCTACTAGAACCACATCTTTCCAGAATGATTCTCCCAGAGTATAAATCTTAATTGTAGTGACAAACTGTCCATTTAATATCCATTTAATTGTAAACATCCTTTCATGTGCAATTATTCATTCTTCATAGCATGTTGCTACAGGACTTGGTATAGCATGGATAATTGGAAGAATACTCTATGCTTATGGCTATTACACAGGAGGTGAGTCCTTGTATTGAGAGTTAAAATCGTGTCATTTGTTACAAAGCTGTTTTCATCTCTGTGGTGGTGTTTATAAACTCCTGCTTTGCTTGATATCCATATCCTGTTTTACAAAACATGGGTTGTTATGTCAAGATTAGTGTGGATTCATAGTTAAAAGTTTATTTTTAGAAGATTTAGTTGGTCCTATATTTTCCCCAGAAAATGGAAAGAAATAGGGAAAAACACACCTGGAATTGATTTAGGACTTTATTTTTTTATTTATTTATAAATTTATTATTAATTTAGGACTTTAGGACTTTATTTATTGATTAAATGAGGCTTTACATATTGTGTCAAAGTATTTAAAAAAAAGTTTAAATGTTATTGTTAAAACCAACATCACCAAATTTAGAATGACTAGATCATTAATCTTGCCAAGGCATGTACAGTATTTTAATGTGGCTATGTGTCTTGTGAGAATCCAGGGTGATTCTAGCTTATTCTTGGTTTATTCAGCAAATTTTGCTTAAAAATCTGGCTTGCACTATATAATGGATCTGTATAGACGTATTATTCCCAGAAAACATTTGAAGTCAAAAATAAGATGTTGGGTTTATCTTATGATCTATCTATCATAATGCTAAGTGACAAATTTGTGCATTATATTAAACCATAGATAAGCATAATATTATTTGTGAATGAAGTCCATGTGTTAGCATTCCCTAGGGAATAGAATGAAAATCATGGTTAGAAAAAAAATAAGAGGAAAACTTGAATGTGTATATCTGAATGTCTAGTTGTTTAGCTTTGTATTCAGCTACCAAAAATGTAAAAGTGACCCTCTTACTGGGCTAGTGTTTGGGGAAACAATGCTTCATAAGTTAAAAATGCTATGCGGATACCTAGCCCTTTACTTAAAATTGGAAAACGTGCCATGAGTTGAAAGTATGTAGGAATTACAAGTTAGTAAGAGAGCCACATAACAAATGACATATGAAATTTGGTTGCTCAAGATAGTCTGTAATATCATATAAATAAGTAATGACATTTCAGTGAAGGATGCTGTTTTGTGTATGAAGATGATAACAGTTTCCTTGAAGCATCTAGAACTTATTGGACAAAAAAAAAGCATTTCAACAAATTTATTTTGCACATCAGTTGTTAAAGTTGCTATTTGTATTACACCATACAAATATTGTCTTATTTTTATAGATCCTAGTAAGCGAAATCGTGGAGTCCTCGGTTCCATTGCACATCTGTGTTTGGCAGGGACCACTGTTTACTCAGCTTTCCAGCATCTTGGCTGGATCTGCAGAGCCTAGACAGCATCCATTCTAGTGATTTCCTGAGATGGCTTTAAACATTTCTCTCATATAATTTTTATCATTGCTTTGTAAAAAAAATAAAAAACAAAAAAGAATCACCCCTGGCTTCAGTGTCCCCTTCTTGTTAAAACTCAGCAGCGTGCCAGCTTTTGTTTGCTCCCACCAGGTATTTCTATGGCATTTAGCATGTCCCTCACTTTGTAATTGTAGGTATTGCCTGTTAAAGGTTATAAATGTTATAGAATATATCTTTTAAAGGCTTTCAAATGTAGCTTGCAGAAAATCTGTTTTCAATTTGATTGCTGATATCAAATACCCATATTTTTCACACTATAAGACGCTCTGGACTATAAGACGCACATTAGCTTTAGAGGAGGAAAACAAGAAAAAAAATGTGTCCACCTACCAGCATCCATCCGGTGTTCATCTGGCTAGCATCCTTGCAGCAAACAACCTGGTCAATTTCAGCACATTATTGCAGCCCCAGCATGTGGCTCATCAGGGCTCTCCTCTGTTGTGTCCACCACTGGTCAATTGAACTGAGCTGATGCTGCCGTTGGGGAATGCTGGAGCCTTCCCTGCCAAACAGCTGATTGGCGATTGATCACCTCCAGAATACCACCAATCAGCTGTTCTAGGCAGCGGGGATTGCCATCACTGCCTGTTCGCTGACCATTCGCCGCCCGCCCATTCACTGCCAATCGCTGCCGCCCATTGGTGGCAAACGAGCAGTGATTGGGTGACAGCAAAGGTGATAGGCAGTGGTGGCATAGAACAGCTGATCGGCGGCATCCTGGGAGGCTGATCCAACCACCAATCAGCTGCTCAGCAGTGAAGTCTCCAGTGTTCCCTTGTGGCGGTGCAGCACCAACCCTCCCCACCACAATATTTGCTCTATAAGATGCACAGTCATTTCCGCCCACTTTTTTTGAGGGGGGAAGTGTGTCTTATAGTGTGAAAAATACGATGTATAGAAAAATTTAAATGCAATATCAGAGTATGCAGTAATGTAGACTACCAGTTTCAGCTACATTCTAAAACACATCTCCAAGCTCTCACTCTTGGATTTTCTCCCAATTATCTCTGGGCTATGACCAAGCAATAGCCACACTCAAGATCGTGCGTGTTTGACATAAACCATCAAAACAAAGCTGGTGAAGTACCATCTTATCCCAAATTTAATGTTCTCACCACTTCTGACTAGAAAGTACAAAATGATACCATACTGACTATGAATATGTCCTTGTAACTCAGGACAGGTTGAAATTATAAACATGTTCTTCTGAACTGCTGTTTTTATATCCAAAGTCCTCTAGTTATTCCACTTATGACCATCAAAATAGGATTCACCAAGTTAAATTATGTACAATTTTGGCTTTCTGATAGCCTGAAATAAACTTACTTGGTGACCAGGTTTTGTATGCTGACGTTAAAAGCTACTGAACCTGTCTTGAGTATGGATAGCCAGTATAGATAACAGTATGGATAACTCTTGGTTATTTACACCCTTGGAGGTATTTATATCTTGGGTTATACATGCCATATCAGTACTATATTGTATATATTCTCAAGTCTGACAGGAAAATATAAACAAAGTTTCCAAAACCTTTTTGGATTATTTTATTGTTTTACTTGCCAATAATTCTGAATTTTATGCTACTGTTTCAATTTTTTTAGTATTCCAGTTGTTAGCTGGAGCAAGCATTGCCTATTCTGTTCTAATACTGTTTTAGCCAAAATGTTATGCATGTATTTTGTCTAACAATTTGGATATTGTTGATTCAAATTCAGATGCTTGCACATCATTTATTTTTGGTTGGTTAATAATTGTGATAAAGTATTTCAGTTCTTCTTAATTGTTGCCCAGATAAATAAAAGAGGTTGGGAGATTCCAAAGAGCTCTTTGTAAGATAAATCTCTGCTTTCTGATGCATTGTTCCATCTTTTATACTCTGTGCCAAGTTTCTGTGCTGGTTGTCAAAATAAGTATTCACATTCTGGTCTCATGTTTCCTTCTTGAGTATTTTTCACCTGATAAAACCTTATCAGTTTTTTTTAAAAAAAATAAAACCTTTTTATAGCAATTATATAATGATAATTTTTTTAGTCCATTTCCATTTATCAGCGCTAAGTGATGCCAGTTGAGGATTTGGTTCTTCAGTTCTCTTTGTTATTCCTTTTGCCCCAATTTCTGGTCCACTAGTAGTAGGATATAGAGAAAGCATGGTAGATTCAGATTTGCATATAAAAAAAAAGAATGAATACAGAGAATATACAGGTGAAACACAAAAAAATAGAATATCATGCAACTTAGAAGGTGAACCTAATATATGAGACTATATATATAGACTCATTACATGCAAAGCAAGATAGTGCAAGCTGTGATTTGTCATAATTGAGATGATTATGGCTTACAGCTCATGAAAACCCCAAATCCACATTCTCAGAAAATTAGAATATTGTGAAAAGGTTCAATATTCTAGGCTGTGTCCCACTTTAATCAGCTAATTAAGCCATAACACCTGCAAAGGGTTCTTGAACCTTTAAATGGTCTCTCAGTCTGGTTCAGTAGGAATCACAATCATGGGAAAGACTGCTGACCTGACAGTTGTACAGAAAACCATCATTGACACCCTCCATAAGGAAGGAAAGCCTCAAAATGTAATTGCAAAAGAAATTGAATGTTCCCAAAGTGTTGTATCAAAGCACATTAATAGAAAGTTATGTGGAAGGGAAAAAGTGTGGAAGAAAAAGATGCACAAGCAGCAGGGATGACCGCAGCCTGGAGAGGATTGTCAGGAAAAGGTCATTCAAAAGTGTTGGGGACTTTCACAAGGAGTGGATTGAGGCTGGAGTCAGTGCATCAAGAGCCACCACACACAGATCCTGGACATGGGCTTCAAATGTCGTATTCCTCTTGTCAAGCCGCTCCTGAACAACAAACGTCAGAAGCATCTACCTGGGCTAAAGAAAAACAGAACTGGTCTGTTGCTCAGTGGTCCAAAGTCCTCTTTTCTGATAAGAGCAACTTTTGTATCTCATTTGGAAACCAAGGACCCAGAGTCTGGAGGAAGAATGGAGAGGCATACACTGCAAGATGCTTGAAGTCCAGTGTGAAGTTTCCACAGTCTCTGTTGATTTGGGGAGCCATGTCATCTGCTGGTGTTGGTCCACTGTGCTTCATTAAGTCCAGGGTCAATGCAGCCATCTACCAGATTTTGGAGCACTTCATGCTTCCTTCCGCAGACGAGCTTTATGGGGATGCTGACTTCATTTTCCAGCTACCCACACTGCCATTAGCATGAAAACCTGGTTCAATGACCATGGGATTACTGTGCTTGATTGGCCAGCAAACTGACCTGACCTGAACCCCATAGAGAATCTATGGGGCATTGCTAAAAGAAGGATGAGAGACATGAGACTGAACAATGCAGAAGAGCTGAAGGCCGCTATTGAAGCATCCTGGTCTTCCATAACACCTCAGCAGTGCCACAGGCTGATGGCTTCCATGCCACTCTGCATTGAGGCAGTAATTGCTGCAAAAGGGGCCCAAACCAGGTACTGAGTACATATGCATGCTTATACTTTTCAGAGGTCTGATATTGTTCTATGTACAATCCTTGTTTTATTGATTGCATGTAGTATTCTAAATTTCTGAGATTGTGGATTTGGGGTTTTCATGAGCTGTAAGCCATAATCATCACAATTATGACAAATCACGGCTTGAACTATCTTGCTTTATATGTAATGACTCTATCTCATATTAGTTTCACCTTTTAAGTTGCATTACTGAAATAAATGAACTTTTGCACAATATTCTAATTTTTCGAGCTTCACCTGTAAACATGCCTTTAATATATCCAAGGACACAAGAGGAACTTAAGAAAGTCTGAGGTGTTTTAACATCACTTGATATCTTTCTCCCTCCTGAACTTTCAAGATTTCTTGATTCTTCAAAAACTCTTTTCTAAAAGAAAATGAAAATTCTTTTAAAACAAAAACATTTTTTTTTCTAAAAAAAAGACCTCATATATGAACATAAAGAAGAAAACCGATACGCCCCAATCTAACATAATAGGGAACAAACGGCTCCTGTAAAAATGAGCCTATATACCATGTACCTAAACCCACTCTCCATGCTCAGGGGTCAGGAGTGGGTGGTCCTTGCCTGAACTCTCAGTTGTTTGCACCAAAAGTAGTGCAAAAAATTAAGTTTTTATATTTCTCAATATAGTATAAATCGTACAGTCTGAATTATCAATCAACTACATACAAGGCATGACATTTTAAAAAGCCTTGACATATCATTTATCTAGACAAAATAACTGAAGAAAACTTGAATAGATTCCTCGAAAATCCTCGGTCTTGCCCCGATGTCTAAAAAAATACCATTACATCATCAGCGTGATCTAATTTTTCAGTGTTGCAAATCTAAATAATTAAAATATTCAAAATAAAATTTGAGGTAGAAAAAGAAAATAGTCTTCTCAGTTTTGTGGCGACTGCTGAGCAATGAGTTTTTCTTTATTACGCCTCTCCAATAATTCTAAACGGAGGTCAGACTTTTTTTTGTTTTAAAGAAGAACCTCAGGATTTATTAAGCCTAAAAGGCTACGCTTCTCTTTTTTTTCCTCTATGGTAAAGGGCATGATGAAGGCATCGGGAAGTGACTGAGCTTCAAATTCACTGCTGTGCATGCGCACTTGACGCTTACTTCCTGTCAAACCCCGTAATTTCGTGCAAGTTTTGAGAGGCGCGGAAATAAGCCCATGAAGAAGATAATGAACTGCCAACGACCGTTATCCGCTTATCTGCCTGCAGCTATTGCAGCGCTGAGCCTGAGCCTGCCTGGCTCGCACCTTTCTCCAGAGACATTCCGGCAAGCCAAGTTCGATCAACCTCAGGTGGTGGGTAGGGGAAAGGGAAAGCGATTCTGCACATGCCCCCGGCCGCTCTCATCCTAACAGGGTGGTATGTTCAGGCACTGAACACGAATTTTTGTTTACCGGCAGTGTTTGTGCGATTCATACTAGGCAGCTTTAAAAACGAGATTACAACAGTGTACAGCAAAGTGTCTCTTATCTCAGCTACTTTTAAAATGTGTAGGGCTGAGGAATTCTGGGAGTTGTTGCAATCGAGACAATCTTAAAAGTGGCCGAGACTGAGAGACGCTGCCGTAGGGTAACTTGCTGCCTTTGACTAGTAGTACTCCCGCCGAATGGAGGCGGGATTGGGCGGATGGACGAGGAAACGCGTCTGGTTGGCCCAATGCAGCTTTTCAGCAAAAAATGCAGAGGCGATGGTGTTTTTTCTCTGAAAAGGGTTTTCTTCCCTTCAGGGAATATATGCTATGAAACAGTCTCACTTCTTTCTGAGCTTCCGACTGCACAGAGGTGCTTTTATGTGTTTGACAGAGATAGTATAACCATGCTTATTGAGAGGCTCGAGTTTTTAAAACGAAACTCCAATCTACTAATTTATTTTGTCAGCTAATGTTTTTAAGAGAAATTTGGTAACGCATAGGTGAATAGAGAGCACCAAGTAACAAGATAAAACGAAAAAAACAAATGCAAACTCGTGGTAAAATACAAAAAACATTCCAGCACTATAAACAGCTAATTAAGTTAAAAAATTATATTCACTTGTCGGTATACCCCAAAATACACTTGTCTTCCTGTTATATAGATATTACATGCACATTTGAAATATGAAAGTTATATCTCTGAATTCAGTTACAATGTTCTCCAAAATCATCATTACTTGCTTTGAACTATTCTGCAGTTGAAATATGTTTATTCTATTTATTATTCAATTGGATAATCTGCATTTTAAATGGCAATCAATTGGGGGGGCATAAAAGGTACCTAATTGTTAAATAGCATATTTTAAGAAAAACTATCTGGTAGCACCCTATGAATCAAACAATTTGCTATTGTTTATCTTTTGACCCTTACAATTAGGATATAGAAAAACTGCTTGCTTGGGATGGATGGATAGATAGATCGATTGGATATGAATAGCGATAATGAGTAACTTAAGGCCGAGAAGATATTCCTTCCTCCTACTTTGCTTTATGTATTTGGGAGTGTACTTTTGCTTTCATTGCTTATATCCTCTTTTTTTTTTTACCACCGCAACAACGAGAAAAAGTTTCATCTAGGCTAGAAACCAAGGGACTGTGAGAAAGCTGCTGGGTGACTTTGGGCGAGTCATTCTCCCAGCCCAACACACCTTACAGGGTCATTTTCAAGAGAATAGGTAGAAGAAGGAAGCTTAATAACTTTGAGTTATTTATAAAAAAAATAATAAAGGATGTAAATAACACAAGATAAAAAAGTTTCAGGAGACAAATGCATATGAAAAATTAACAACAAAATAAATGGATTTTTGAGAAGTTAGTTTGGTGTAATGATTACATCAAGTTAGAAACTCAGAGACTGTTTTAGTCCCACCTTAGGCACAAAGCCAACTGGGTAACTTTCTCTCAGCCTTAGGAAGAAGGCAATGGCAAATCACTTCTGAAAAAGTTTGCCAAGAAAAATTGCAGGACTTGTCTAATCAGTCTGAGTTAGTCTCTGAGAATTGGACATGATTGAACAGAAGGAAAAAAAAGGAGCAGGGGTTAGGAAATTATGGGCATAGATCCAAATATTTTAGATATTTCAGGAAAACTAAATTTGAAAACCGAAAAGGACCACTGCATTCCAACTGTAACTTGCATTTCATCTCATCTGCTCTCTGGTGACAGATTTAGCACTGCTATTAATTGTGCCATTCCACTAGTCCTTTATTTTTATGGCTATGGTAGTTTCAGTGGTGGTGAACCTATGGCATGCAGAGCCCTCTCTGTGGGCACACTCGCCATTGCCCCAGCTCAGCTCCACCGCATTTCTCCATGATGTTTCTCTCTGTTGTTTGCAGGGAAACAGAAGACAAAACAGAAGCTCACAAAAGAAAAAGAACTCACCTCTTGTAGAGCTGCCAGTGTTGGGATGCCCCGCCTCTCTCTGGTCAGCTGGTCTTCGGGTCTCTGCTGCCAAATGTGGGTATGCGTACATGCACATGCGCACCTTACAGTTTGGGCATGCGCACGCATGCATGCACGCACTCACTTTGGGCACTTAGTGCCTAAAAAGTTCGCCATCATTGTTTTAGTTTGTCTCTTTAAGAAAGGATATCTTCTTTCCCCATAGGTTCATGTCAAGCTCACCTTCTAGTGATTACATAGATATACCATATAGTTTTCTTGATGTATCAATTGGAAGTGATTTGCCATTGTCTTTTTCTGAATATTTTCAACCTTCCAGTCTAGCTTGCAGCTTTGATATTCCCTGACGATGTCCCATTCAAGTACTAGCCAGACCTAACTTACTTGGTTTCTGTGTCTAGACATAAATTTGTTATTGTTGGAGGTTTAAAAAGCATTTCTTTTAAACGAGAACCATCTAGAATTTCAATATTTGACAAGGGTATTGATAGAATGGGACAAAGGTTGTTAAATTCAAGCAAAGTCATATAAACTACAGCAAATGTCTTCAGTGTTCTCTATTTTAAACAGAGTTTAACATTCTGGGAGCTACTATATCATCTCCTGAATCATATCCATGGTGGAGGACTGATAAAGTCTGCTGATACAGGTAGCAAATTACTGTAAATGTGGAAACACATTTAGTTTTGGAAGGTGGGGGGAAAATGAAGGTAACAAAACTATGTTATTTCTTTATGAAATTTATTGACAGCCTCAGTCTGAAAGATAGTACATGAAATATAAAATGATAAAAACTTGGGCAGTTACAACAATTTGAATAAAAATAGTAAAAGTATAACATATCTTGATACACTAAGAAGCCTTTGAAAATATTTGCTTGGCACTGAAATTATGGTGGTGCCTGAATGTTGGAGGAATGGCACTTGCCACTTGCTTTAACACAAATGCCAATTAAGTGATTATTGATAATATTTAATGATGCAGCAAGCTTTGCAAGGTAGATGTTTCTTTGCTGCTTTCATTGCCAAAAAGTAGCAATGTGTTTTGATGTGGGTTCAGTCATCCTCATAGTAAGCCTTACAACTAGTAATTCTTACAAGTGCTTCATTTGTTATCCAACTTTTTTTTAAAAAAAATCAGATTTTGTTTAAACTTCCACAGCATTGGGAGAAGATACTCGAATGCAATCATATTGATAGCCATGTTTGCTTCAGTATTTGATCAGAATAATCAATCTAACCTCTAGTCTAGAGTCTAGAAATAGTTTTTCTACTCAATGCTGGGGAGCACTAGTGCTTTGAGAAATGCTTCACCAAGGAATAATTGTTTCAATTGCCTCACCATTACGCTACTCTTTCACAATGGTATATCCTACTCTGATGCTGGGCAAACATGCATTGAGAACTGAATGACTATAACTCCATGAAATCCAGATTGGATTGTTCCAAGCAGCTTTCTCTCACAAACATCTGATAATTGTTTTATTATTTTATTACATATTCATATACAGTATTAAATTACTGTGTTTACAGCTTTATTAGTACTGTACATTACTTTGATTCCACTATGGCTATAGTTTTTATATAGTGAACTCTACATAACATATTGATGTAAATGCATTTGTTTGTTTATGGATGTCTTCAAGTCAGTTTTGACTTCAGGCAACTGCCTGGATAAGTCCGTGCAGGTTATTGGCAATGTTTTCAGAAGCAGTTTGCCATTGCCTTTTTAGGAGTAAGTGAAAGTGATTAGCTGAAGATCACTCAAATGACTTTAGCATCTAAGACAGGATAAAACCTAAAATAGATAATTTCTTTCTTTTTTCGTTCTAGAAAAGTGCAAAGGTGCTTAGGCAGAAAGCCGTGCTGGCAATCTGTTATGTTACTCTTTGCATAGATTAGCAGTGTGCTACTATCTCATTCTAGGAATGATGCAGTCCAAATTAGGAGGCATATGTGATACTCTCTAGTCTTCCCTCAAGAAATAATAATTACTGTAAAATTTATAATAGCAGCCTTTAAGTATCTGAATAGATTTCCTATAGAAGAATAGACTATAGTTATAAAAAGTCTCCAGTTATATAAAGAAAAACCAACAGTAACCATTATAATTTGACAATTGAATGAATTACCCAAAAAGGTGGTAAGGTTCTCTTCATTGAAGATGTTTGGACAGAATTTGGACAGTTATTTTATGTAAATATTTTAATATTTATTTTGCTCAGAACAAGATATTGGATTCAATTGGATTCTTCTTATTTTATAATTCTACAAAGCTTTTGTTTAATAATTTAATGAATTCAGGGATAATGGGAGATCACTTTATTTAAAGCACAAAGCACACACACATTGGGGGAGTGGAGATGGTACTGACAGGCTTGTTGCTATCAGAGGTTCTAAGCTTGAATGTCAAAAATTTTTAAAAGGAAACTGTGAACATGTCCTTAGGTTACTATGGTATAAATTAACCCTTTAGGTGATAGGATTTTATCCCCTTGCCTCCCAAATTTTGGTTCTACTTGCTTTAGCATTAGGCACTCTTTTTGATGAAGAGTGGTTACTTGAATGGTAATAAATAATCAACATTTACCTTATCTCCTCTTTAGGCACCCAAGTCAGATTTGTCAAATATGCAGCCTTGAGCTACGGATATAGAAGGCTAAAATTTTATCAGCTTCCTGCTGATGGTTCAAAAGCGAGCAGAGAACTGCTATTGGCACTTTCTTGGTTCCTTTGCAGAATAGCTCTAATGGAAAAGTTATTGATACTAAACAGATTTAAACTTTGGGATCAAGCAACAGTATGCATGGTGAGTTCAAGGGGCTCAAGATAATTTTCATTGGCAGCCAAATAAGAGATAGAGAATGGGTCAGTTGTTTGATGAGACTGGCAATAGAAGCAGGTTATTTTTAATGTACTCCAACCAGATGTACATGTTCCCAGCATATTTTGTGGAAATTGTTTAAGAGACAAATGGCTTAAAAGAGTTGAAAGCATTCCATTTTACCTAGAGCTAAAATAGAAAAGTTGTTCCAGGCAGATTAGAAATTACGCTAATTTAAAATATATAGCTTCCTTACCGAAAGACATCTGAAGTATAGACATCCCCTTTGGGTTCTCCAAGTCTGTTGTTGACAATCTCTAGGTAGAAATAGTTTAGACACTGTGAGGATATATTGTAGAATTTTTTTGCTGGTTTTGTTATTTTTCTTACACTTTGATGAAATATATTAATTCTCTGCCCAATTGTCTTGACTTAATTATCATACCATCCACATAGATGGACACTTTTGACATGTTTCAAAAATTGTACTCAAAAGACTGGTAAACAGTAGTTTCATATCATATGAGGACGGGAGGCACTGAATGGATTGCCACAAGATACGATTTTTGCTCTTTATAAAGATTTATTACAAACTTCAAAGAGAATTTTTATGAATTTGCAGAAAATATAAAGTCGGGTGGCTAACTGAACAAGGCAAATGAAATTCATACAGATTTAGATACTATAGAGAAATCTGCTGAAAATAGCAGAATGAAATTTAGTGCGGATAAATACAGTTGTTATATAGCAGGGGCGTCACTCGATTTCATTGAGGGCTACATCAGGGTTATGTTTGACCACGAGGGACTGGGGTGGGCATGGCTGGGGTGGGCATAGCCAGCTCGACATCAGTCATATCAGGGGCACCTGTGGTGGCCAAGTGCTAAGACAGGACTTCCCCCATTATAATCTCCCTCCCTCCCTTCCTTCCTTTTCTTTTTCCTTCTCTCTTCTTTCTTCTTATTTCCCCCCTTTTCTTATTTTTCCTTTCTTGCTCTCTTCTCATCTTTTCTTCTTTTTTTTTTCTTTTTCCTTTTCTCCTTTGCTGTCCTTTCTTGCATGCTTAAATGCAAAAGGGAAAACATTTCTCCTTTTGTTTTTAGTTTGTTTTGCTAGCCTTGTGCCAGCAAAAACAGAGCTCAGGGAGGCTATGTGCTGTCCCCCAGGCCCCATTTTTGGCCGTGGCGGCCTCCTGGAACCCTCTGCCAATGAAAATGGAGCCTAGGCACCCCCCCCAGCACTATTTTCACTGGCAGAGAGCTGCGGGAGGCCATTGCGACTGAGAATGGGACCTTCCTGAGCTTCATTTTCGCTGGCAGAGTTACTGTGGGCTGTTTCCAGGATGGCCCTGCAGGTCAAATCTAAGCACCTGGATCCGACCCACGGGCCTTGATGTTCTCCTCCACGCTGCTGCAAGAGCCCAGGATGGGTTAGATTCCTCCCGATGACATCATCAAGCTGAGTCTGTCTTATATAAAAGGAGCAGCCTGTGGGAGTGTCCCAAGTTTTGACTCAGCTTCTTTCGATGATAATTGAGCTGGTGTCTCTGAAAGCAGTATTAGTCAGAAGCAAAAGTCAAACAGCGATCTTAGATCATTGGCACAGCTTCTGGGGACCTAGTACAGCTGTGCCTTCTCCTGCAACGCCGAGGATTTGATGTTTTCAATCCAAGGGAAACTGTAAATAAAGGAGAAGCCCTTGGCCCTCCCCTACAGCTCTTCCTCTGCAATTTCGGCTGCAGTGATCGTAAAGATCATATCGGCGATAACTGCATCTCACAGCTGATCGGAAAAAAAACACAGTTTTCTCTTTCTAGCCAATTTCACTGCTCAAGGCTGTTTCCAGCCTAAGGAGTGACTAACAGCCATCATAGCCTGCAATTCATGTGACAGGCCATTTTGAAAGCTTCCTCTTCCAACGCATGTGGCAAGCGGCCATTTTAGGTGGCCTCATCTACCAACAGCCTGCTCCTGTCCCCAAAAAGGGCACTAATTAACGCTACTGCATAGGCAACACATAGTGAGGGTCGCTCCCAGCACCTCTTGTGTTTGCTTATGCCAACTATGGATCAAGACAAGATCCATGCAGAGCTTTCGGGCCTGGACACCCAGGGCCTCCAGACTGCCAAAAGAAAAAGGAGACAACACTCTCAATCTGTTCAAAGGGAGGTAGTGGCCAAGATCAGGGCCAAAGCCTTGGCCCCCAAGAAAACATCCAGGACCAAACTAAAAGCAGAGAAACAAAGACATTGGAGAGGCAGTTCAACAAGACTGTTGAGCAAATGAGGGGACAACTGCAGCAGGCTCCCCAGCCAGCCAATCCTCTGGTGGCTCAGGCAGGTTACTTCCAGAAACGCCAGCCCCTCTTAGCCACCTCCAATCCTGGTCCCCAGAGAGGCTTGAGGATCAATTTGGGCTTCAAGACTTGAGCAGATTAGGACCCAACTTCATACAGGCCCCTTGGGACCTCTCTTCTTCTCTGCCATCTATAGCCCAAAGTAGCTCTCATCCTAGACCAGAAGCTACTTTTACCCCAACAGCGGCAGGCCTTTGGCCCCCAGATCCTCCATCGAGTGGCAGACCCTCTGACATCCACGATGTAGTCTCCATAGCCATCAGACAGGGCCTAGCAGAAGGCTTCAACACAGCTTTAGGCCCTCAGACAGGTCCCAACCCTCTTTTCTGGCCTACTCTCAGGCCCAGATTGCCCAAAGAGGACTACCTCAACTTGTGGAGCATAGGGCCCCTCCTACCCATGCAGAATGGGGTGATTTTGAACAGAAAGACTACGCAGAACCATCTGAGCATAGCCCCTCCCCTGCATCTGCATTTGAGGGAGAAATCTGGGACCAAACCTCTCGGAGGAAGAGGAGGATCTGAGGCCTGATCAACCTCCCTCAGCTGCAGTATTCAAACCTGTTAGGAATGTAAGTCACCTAGCAGTTATTTGGGTTGGAAATATATAAACTAGGATAGACATTTTAATACCATGTCTTTAAGAGAATGCTAAAATTGTAATTGGGTGTGGTTCCGCAAATGACCATAAGCCAGAAACCTGGATTGTTTAGTCTCAGAAAGTGAAGTCTCAGTGAGTTTCTGTTCCTGTTCTGTTTCTGGAGAGTGTTGCTGTTCCTTATTGACTGTTGACTGATCATAGTTCTTGGATTTGATGTAAGTCTGTTACTGAACTGTTTTTGATACTGGACTTTGATATTTGGATTATTCCTGGACTGAAAACTAACTGCTTTACCTGTGAATGACTTGGACTGCTAACCTTAGACTTTGCTTAAACGTTTATGGGAAGTAAAAACCAACATTTACTGTACAGTGTATCTGTGTGCTGTGTGTGTATTATTCTTCACTACTCTCACTACATCTCCCTGTATGTGCTTATTCTCCTAACGGGGAATTACCTCAACAAAACCTTCCTTATTTAAACCCTTCCTCCACAAGGCACTGGTCACAGCCCAGTTGTCCTTGGAGGAAGCTGCCCCCGAACCTCAAGTGGTGCAATCGGGGCATGGGGATTCCCTCTTCTCCAAACATGTTGTTCACTCGGAGGTCCTTCCATCCCCCATCATTTTTCTGGACTTAGTCAAGGAGCAATTTACCTCCCTGACAGCAGGCCCCCGCCCATCGTCCCATGATAGGCGGTTTTACAATGTGGGCCCTTCCCTAGCTACCGCTTTTGCAGTTCCCTCGGATGCCCCAGTCGTGGCTTCCTTCTCCTCAGGCACTCCAACTGAGCCCAAGGATGTACTAAAGGCAGAATACAAGCGCTCCGAACAAACATTAAAGCATAACCATCAAGCCTCTGCTTGGGCCGTCCGGGCCTCAACTGCTGCATCGTTTTTCACAAGGTCTTCCATCCGCTGGCTGCACCAACTACAAGTCCGCATACCCTCATCACACCCCCATCAAGATCTCAATAAAATTATAGCAGCAGCAGAGTTCACGGTGGACGCCACCCTTAATGCCGCCAAGTTCTCCTCCGGGGCCATGGCCTCATCTGTGGCAGAGAGGAGGCTTTTATGGTTATGAAATTGGCAAGTGGAGCCTCATCGCAAGTGGAAACTGGTATCGGCTCCCTGCAAAAGCAACAATCTATTCAGCAAGGCACTATTAGACCCATTCATCATCAAAACGAGAGGCAAAAGAAAAGTTCTTTCCTCAACAGGGAAGAGAGACGACTATCACCTTTCTCCATATCAAGCACCGCCATTCCGGCCCAACACTGCCTCTTGCTTCTCCAGGCTACAGAGGGCATATCCCCAGCGCCAAGAATACCACCCTGATGCACCCGGCAGACAACAGCAAACTGCAGGAAAAAGGCCCTTTCGTGGGGGAGGGAGTCACTCCTTCCGTCGCTCTAAATAATCCCTCGTTCTCGCCTCCCATTGGAGGTCGCTTGGCCTCCTTCACTTCCAGATGGGAGGAGTCAACGATGGACGCCTAGATACTCAATACAGTAAAGTTGGGGTTACAACTAGAATTTTTATCATCACCCCCAGAAAATTTTTATGTTCTGCCCTGTTTCCTGGGACAGTTCACAAAGGGCCCTTATGGAATCGGCCATTCAGCACCTGGTCGACATAAGGGCCATTCAACCAGTCCCTGAACTCCAATGGGAACGTGGCTTTTCTCGGCTTTTCGTGGTCTCTAAGGCCTTGGGGGGGAGGGTGGCGAGCCATTCTCGACCTAAAATTTCGGAATGAGTTTATCCCATACAGGCGCTTTAAAATGCAGACTGCATTCTATTCTAGAGAGCGTTTGGGAGGGTGATCTCCTCTCTTCCATTGATCTCACGGAGGCTTACCTCCACATTACTATCTGGCTTCATCATCGCCAGTTTCTCCGTTTCTGTTACCAGAATTCCCACCACCAGTATTGAGCCCTTCTCTTCAGGCTCTTGTTGGCTTCAAGAGTCTTCACAAAGATACTAGTGGCATTGGTGGCTTCGCTCTGTTCAGTTCCAGTGAGGATCCAATGTTACTTGAACAATATTTTAATACTGTAGTCCTCCACTCACTCTGCTCATTGAGATCTTCAAATCACACTCTTGTCTTGAGTACCATGGCTTTTCCATCAACTCCAGGAAGAGCCATCTCTTCCCCACAACCAAATTGCTCCACGTGGGAGCTGTCATCGACACAACTCTGTGCCAAGTTTTTCTCTCTCCAGATTGTAGGAAGAGCCTTACCGAGATCATTTGACAGGTTCAACATCAACACACTGTCTCCCTGTCATGGATGTCCAAACTATTAGAGAAAACGATCTCATGCATCGGGATCGTTCCGTTGGCATGGCTACACTCCTGAGCTCTACAATGGTTTCTTCTCCCCTTTCAACAAGCAGGAACCAGCCACATGTCTGCCAGGGTCCGGCTCACTCCGCAGAAATGTCGTTCCTTCAAGTGGTGGCTCTCTCCCTTTGGAAGGGACTCCTGTTCAAGGAACCAGACAGACTGCTCATCACCACTGATGCAAGTCTCCTGGGTTGGGGGGCCCACATGGATGGGCACATAGCTCAAGGGATTTGGTCCCAGATGGACAGGACCGGCCCTATAAACTGGTTGGAGCTCAGAGCCATATATCTAGCATTGAAAAATTTCAGGGACAAGGTAGCTGGATCCTCCTATGCCTCAACGAGTGCGGCCTTTAGCAAACGGGTGCTTCAGCGAGTGGTTCCAACTTCAGAGTGATTAACCAGATGAGGACCCTCCCGAGGACATGCAGGCTTTGGTATGGCCCATCCTGGGTTCTTGCAGCAGCATGGAGGAGAATGGGCGTTGGTAAATTTACCTGAGAATGCTCTTTCTATCTATGCTGTTAGAGAGCCCAGCCCCTCCCTTGTTTCATCCAGACTATGGTAAGATATGTTATTGTTCAAGATTCTGTTTGGCTTTCAGAGACACTCACTAAAGTCTGTCAAGTACCTTCGCCAAAGCTGGAGACACTCCCACAGGCTCTCCTTTTATACAAGACAGACTTAGCTTGATGATGTCATCAGGAGGAGTCTAGCCCATTCTGGGCTCTCTAGCAGCGTAGATAGAAAGGGCGTTCTTAGGTAAATTTACCAACACCCATTATATAGGAAAGAAAAAACAAATCCACATATAAAATGGGGAATATGTGATCTGGTAACAATACAATGGAAATATATATATAGCAAGGGTGTCAAACTGGCGACCTGCAGGCCGGATGCATCACACACAGGCCACGCTCACCCTAGCTCTGCAAAGGGAAAAAACAGGATACATCACATGACAGCAATATGACACCGCAAGTTTGACACCTGTGCTATATAGAAATAATAATTGACTACAAACTGAGTATAAATTCACAGTATAATCATGGGTGCAAAAATGAATGGTTGTATCTCCATTAAGACAGGAGTTTGTTGTTTTAGCAGGGTTTATAGCAGGCTTGTCCAACCCGTGGCCCACGGGCCGCATGCGGCCCAGGTCACCTCGTAATGCGGCCCAGTGCCCACCCCAACCTTCGTGCCAGGTTGAGTTGGCTGAGCAATAAGGCTTTATCTTGGGATTTAACAGTTAGGAAATATACATAAAATATTGAGTGAGATGAAAAACAGACACCTTTGTAGCATAGAACTACTCAGTTTTGATATAAAAATCTGGACTTCGGAATTGAGATATAGTAGCGTATCTACTGTGATTTGATAGTCAAGATTAGTGGCCTCTTACACATACTTGGCACATACACTTACAAACTTATTACTACTGTGTTATGTCTCACCTATATTCATAGATGAGAAGACAAGGTTTCAGAATTCAAAATATTCAAGCAGAAACAAAACCGGATTCAAAAGGGTTAATTAGCACTGTTTTCCAGTCCTTGGCAGACTTCCCGGAACCTGTCAGGCTAATCAGAATTGTCCATAAATCACAAGGCCCCTCCAAATGTATTCTTTCGACTCATCAAACACTTTGCTTCCAAGCAAAGCCTGAGAGTCAGCACGCCTCTTTAAATCACCTGGATAGGCGTGTCAGTCTCTCCAATCAGTGTCTGGCCTGATGCCTCCCTTCAGATTGACGTTTCCTGGTTCTCCTAGTTCTGGTGTCAATCCACGATCTGTCAGTTTCCTCGCTGGAAACTTCTGTCTCATGTTGTTGATCATTTGCTGGCATGAACGAAGTCGAAGGTTCTGGGGAGGATTGTCTCTGCGACAATCTCTCATCCTCCTGGCTTACGTCTGTGTCCTCTGATAATTCAGACTCCACATTCACAGCAGGCTCCAACCTTCCATCTTCAGAGTCATCAGAGTCAAAACTCCCAGCAGGATCGATCCTTCCAGTCACAACACTACTGTATCCATTCAAACTTAATATTTGCCTGATTTTAATAAGACTAATATAGATATTACTTAACTTTGCAAAATGATGTCATTGTTTGAAATTTACACCTTGTCCCATAAATTAATCCTGTAAGTGTGCTACTTATTCACCAATAGGTGGCAGTTCAAAATAACAATGTTTTTGTAAAGAGACTTCTTCCACTGCATGTTAATTTTAATTGTAAAGAGTTAGTTTTTCCCAATGTTGAGAATTTAGTAACAAACATTTACCCATTATGATAGCTCTTTTCAATCCTTAAGAACAATGAATGTTTGTTATCTTTATACACTTCAAAAGAATGTGATGATGCCATATTTTAGCAGAACCTCCTTCCATAGTTTTATTTGTTTAAATATTCCCATAATTCAGACTTATTTATTTAAAATAAATACACTCAGATTTATGTATGAGTTCACAGCTTCTGTGCTAACTTCTTATACATTTTTGTACATTCATGTATCAAGCATCATACCTCTATATCTATACACACACATACATACACACTATATGAAATAAATATATAAAATATATAAAATAAATGAAAAGGTATATATTAAAACACCCAATGCACCATTTTAATCTTTCTCTTAATCCTGCTAATATGAAGCATTTGCCAACCTTTTCATTTATCCTCAGATATGGTTTTGTTTTTTGGCACTGGTGTTACTTCATTCAGCAACTAATTTTGCACTCTACCCCAAACATTCTACAATTCAAGACTGTTCACTTTAACATACTTTCTTTGAATCAAAAAGTATACCATTAACTTGCTTTCTCACATTCATGCATTTTTTACAGATCTCTAAGAGCAAAAATCTGGTCTGCATAGTGCCTACATAAACCAACCTAATCCTAAAGCTGCCAGGCATAAAGCCTAGAAGGAGATGAGCAATTTCCTCTTTCCATTATGAATTAGAAGATTTTCCCCCACAATACAACACTTGGTTCTGTTCAGTGTTTGGACACTTAACCTGATGGACACAGTCCCAAATCAATTCACATAATTTATTTCAAATATTCCACTGCATTGGATAGAATAAAAAGTTGGCACTGTTGATAAAGGAGTCAATTCGGCATATTTTCAAAGACTAGAATATTTGAATATGTCAGGAGGAGATGTTTGGTGTCCTTCAGCCATTTTAGATAATGAATCTCAGTGTTTGGGCTATCAGTGACATTCCCTTTATCAATATTTTTTGCATGTATCTTTCATGAAATATTCAGGAAATTTAGATAGTCTGTATAAAGCCAATTGTTCTTCACTTCTGGGGAGCTTCATTTATTTTAACAAACTTGAATTTCACATCTTGAATATATATCTTTTGGAGAAACTTTGATGCTTTTTTACAAAAATATTTGCATGTTGTTGCTTGAATGTGATAACAGCAGAAAAGGGAAAATTTCTGTTTATGAGAACTTCCTTTCAAGTTATACTATAGAGATAGAATACAATCAAGAAAGAGAATAATAAACAGAGCTCTACATATATTACTATACTATCAATAGCATTCTGCTAAAATTTCTAGGCAACAAAAAATACTAAACATCAACAGAAATAACTCTAAGCTTACATAATAAATCTTGGAGATTGAAAAATTGAGTTGGTTCAGAGCAAACATCATTTTGATAGATTTTATTATTATTTCCTCCTTAGTGCAATGCTCCTCTAAAATGTTTGCAAGATGGAAAAAGCCTTGTTTCTAAACCTCACATTAAAGGCCAGAAAGATGTCCAATATCTTCAGTGGTTGAATGGCCATCTGAAACTCCAGTGGCGGAGTTACCACTCTGACCAGGAAGAGCGATGCAAGTTACTGCATAAGGTAAGTAGAACTTGGGTTGCAAACTTGCAATAGTTTATATTTTGTGGCATCATCCTTCTCTGGTCTTGATTCTATGATTTTCAGAAGAGATTTTAAAACAAAATAGGATTTAAGATTGTGTCTTATCTAATTTTTTTAGCCAACGTTTGTAGCAAGAAGAATGAGTATATTTTCTTTACATGATGGTGATATTTTTTATTTTCTAGTTCCAAGGTTATTAGGTACTAAAGCTGAATTGAAAGTTCATAAGTCTGAAACCACTGTAGATTCATATTCAATTTATTCTGATATAACAGTTAATTGTGGTTTGACATTATGAGTCTTGAAGAGCCTCTAGCTTGGGTATTACCTCCCACACATGCCATAGTTCCAGGTTTTAGTTCATAGTTTAGCCATTGAGCTGAACTGGGAAATAGTTTGCAGCCAAGCCTTAATTGAAATTTAGACTTCTGCAAGAGGCCATAGTTGACTTATTTATAGATCTTCAGGATAATACAAAGTAACTTCCGGTTTGGGCTTCTTCGGCGACGGACCGAAATCGCGATTGTCCACGGTTTTGATCCGTCGCCGCTGGAGCACCCTGAGCCGCCCGGATTCGGGGTTGAAACCATCCTGTAGAGGTGGTGAAGAAGGGGGAGCCATCAGCGGGATTGAGGAGAGCCTCATCTTTCCTCCTCGGCTGGCCATTCCACCCTTTCCCAAAAGCGGTTGCAGCAGTGGTCAGAAATGGCCACCTCAAAGAAGAACCCAACCGGACAAGATTGTGCAGGAGGAAGTTTGAAGGAGAAAGTTTGACTGACCGGGTTGAATGGAGAACATCTATTTAAGGTACCTGGAATCTGAATTGTAAAGACTAATACTATTCCTAAAAAAGATTTTAAGCTGCGAAAGAGAAGGAGAAAGGAAACGGAATTGGCTTTTTTTCCTCTAACATCAACAGCTTTAACTGACTTGGAACATTAAGAAGAAGAGATTCGAATAAGAAATTGATACTAATCAACTTTGACATTAATAGGCTATTTCTAGCTGAAAATAAAGTGTCAAAGGGATAAAGATTCTTGGATAATTTAAAAACTTTCTTTAAAAAAAAGAAAGCAGCTGAGGGAAAAAGGAAAAAGGAGGGTGGAATCTGGAAAATGGGTGAGACCACCTGGAACTTAAAAAAAATTGATAGTGGAATTTTAACAAGGCTTGCAAAAGACACATTGTAGCTGAAACTTTGTTACAAGATAACAAAGCCCCTGGAAAGAGAAAGTGAGAAAAGAAGGAAGAAACAGTTTTGGATTATTGGATGATTCCTGGAACTTTGGATGGAGGATCCTAATGAAATAAAATAAAATCAATTGGGGGTTGTTTAAATTTTTAAAAAATGGCATCACTCCTTGAAGAGTTAAAAATGAGACTTAAAGAACAAAAAGAAGAAGCACAAGATAGAAGAGGATCTTTTGGCTTCGTATTTCAATTTTTAGAAATGGAGATCTTGAACTATGAAAAACAGCAAGAAATGCTGGCAGAACAAGAATGGCAGGACAATGAAGAAACCATCTTTAGTGACCAAATAATTTTAAGCGGGGTAAAAAGGGGAAAGGGGGTTAAAAACTTAAGCACTGAAGCAACAACCAAAAAAAGAGTAATTTGAAAAGTAATCATAATATCAGGAAGAAGCAGAAGGGAGGATCACAGAAGGGAGAATCAGAAAAGGGAATAAAAAGGGGAGGGAGAAGAAGAGGGGGAATAAGGAAAGGAAAAGAAGCTACAAAAGACAGAAACAAGATATAGAGGTACAGGAAAAACGTACAAGAATTAAAGGTATGAACCTATTCAAAAGACACAGAGACAATGGTTAAAATTTAACTTAAGGAGAGGATTCTACAAGGGTGCATCAGATAGCATTGTTATATTAGAAATATGTTATATTAGAAAATATGTTAGATGATTAAAGTGACAGAAAAAATTTCTATTGATGTGTAGTGGAATATTTGTTTGTAAAGAGAATAAGGCTCTCAATGATTTAAAAAGAACGTTTAAAAAAAACTGAAACAGAACATGGAAGATTTTTATCAGTTGGCAAGATGAACATGAATAAGAATAATAACTTTATCGACTACTTTTAATAACTATTGTTTGGTTTTTTTATTTAAAGACAGTAATAAGTAAAATATGAAATATAGATGATTAAAGTGAAAGACAACTGATATTACTAGGTAACGTTTGTTAAAAGAAATAGAAATGTAAAAGATTGTTATTAATATTAATGGCAGAGCTGTACTTGAATAGACTAATTATTCCATTTACTATTGTTACACGTATATACACAGATGTATATATACGTATATACTTTTTTTTTTAAAGAATTTAGTGTGTATTTTAAGGGAATGTACCAAGCAGAATTCGATTGAAAATAGGTATGTGTTATAAAATAGAGGTTAGAAAATGAATGTTATAACTGTAAAGATGTAACTTAAATTTTTGAATAGGATTTGAAAAAAGATACAAATGTGTTATATTCCAGTCTAGTAATTACAGGGGAAAATTTTTTTTATGAGAAAAGATAATATGAAATTGTAAATAGGACAGACAAAAGTGTAAAAACATTGATTAGAAAGATTTTAAAAATTAGAAAAAGATACGTAATTGAATTAAGAAAGGAATGAGATAATTTAAAATAAGGCTATAGGAAGTAAAAAAAAGGGGAAAGCTATTGAAAAAATTGCGAAAAAAGTTAATGTCAAGGTGGTGCTCCATTCAAAATTTAAGAAAGAAATACTTAAGACTCCTTAATTAGAGAAAAGATATCTTTTGCTGAAAATGAAGTGGTAGCAACAGTAGAATTCTGAATCTGAGAAATTAGGCGCGCAGATCACATATACAAAGTGATGGAAATGTTCCCACCCCAATAGTTCAAATGATTCTTCCAATTAAAAGTTGTGAATATGATCATGTGGACATCTTCAGGTGGTGATGAGGCCTCTGTCTGTTGACCTTGGCATATTTTGATAAAGATTTGCAGCTGCGCAGAGAAAAGAAAGCTAAGCGAGAAATAGAAACCTAAACAGGAATTTATACCCTCCCTGCTCATTTACACAACACTAGAATGTAACACCTCCAGTTTTCTTCCCAGACTTACCCCCTCCTCCCCCCATTACTTATGGCAGCCAAAAGATGCAAAGCAATAGTAGAAGATCTTGAAGGCTGACAGTTATAAGATATGGATTAGAATGTATAAGATAAATATGTATTGAGTTTATGTCTGTATGGAGAAGTGATAACCCCGGGCCACGCTGTTCTCAAAAAAAGATATTTTATTTGTATTTGTATGTTTTGTGAAAACCTAAATAAAACTTTTATTTAAAAAAAGATAATACAAAATATATATTTTAAAGATCAGTAGAGCTCCAAATTAATGTTTCACAATTGATTTTCAGTGAGAGGTACAAAATGGACTGAAATGATGGACAAAATTTCTGTTAGTATCAATTCACCTTCTGAGACAGAAAATTGTTATTAGTGTAAGCAATTAAATGTTCCAAGCAAAGATACATGGACAAAACATGGAAAGCAGCTTTTTGGTTTGTGTGCTAAACTTTTTCCCAAAGAAGATCTTACTGCTTTTTTACTCAGAATACATTGTTTTTGAATTTTTATCTAGCGGCAGCATGGTATCTGTCTGGCCCAGGGGTGGGTTTCTTCTAGTTCTGTCCACCTCTGTAGAACTGGTAGCTCTGTTTTTGCCCACCTGCCTGCCCGGGCTCTTACCTGACTTTTATTTCCTGCCTTTTCAACTTCAGCTGCTGTGCAAGGCACAGCTGCAGTTAAAAAAGCAGGAAAAAAAGTACTTTTTCAAAGGCTGCTTCTCGGCATGCAGCGCTGCTCATCTGTCCAGGCACCAGGCTGATGAGGATTTACAGGCGTGCAGCGTGCAGGGAAGCACATCGTAAATCACCGAACCTCGTAAATCACCGAACTGGTAGTTAATCCTGTAGGATCCCACCCCTGGTCTGGCCTACTGAAGTATGCTAGTTTTATTTTATGTATATAGTTCTATGAAACCCTAATCTTAACCCCCAACAGGCAACAACCATTTTCCTGCCTGCTGTCCTGCTTTTGAGCCACCTGGAACTTCCTGCCAACTTCTCCACTGATTTGGTGGTGCGAAGCATGCAGGAAGTTGTCTCGCCTAATAGCCTTGGGATTTGGTTTCTTTATGAAGATTTTGAAGCAAAAATGTCCTTTGGATAAAATGGTTTCATATGACCATGTAGTTTGCTTAATGATTGCAATGAGTCACTTAACAATCATCATAAAATCTAGTCCAGTCATGTGACGCCATGATTCATGACCGAAATTCCAGTTCCAATTGTGGTTAATTGTAATCTAATACTTAAATTGTAATCTAATACTTAAAACTACACATTGTTACTTTTATACACAATACCTTTACATGTGTAGTTTTAGATATATCTCATACCCTGTCTCTAACCATATGTTTTCTCTACCAGGTACATACCTACACAATAGGTTCTCATACTGACCCTGTTATTGACCATTTCTCAGTCCTAGAAGTTGATGTTGGAAGACAACCAGAAAGATATAAGCAGGTAATCCTCTTTCTATAGCATGCCTGATAATAGCAAATTTCTAGATATTCTGTGGCTATTTCACTCAGGGATGGGAAGGGGGAGAATTCTTGCTAAGAGATTATGCTGTAGTTTTACTATACATGTAGAATTGCTTTGTCTACAGATCATTTGGGGGTATATTGCTCATCTAATAGAGATCTCTAAAGCTTGCACTGCTATTACTTTACAGAAACCATATTACTTTCTGTTATTTTGCAATAATTAAATATACTTTGTTCTTCATTTCTTCAGTTGCTGAATTTTGTGGAATCTGATTGCTCCCATCTAGAAGCATTTTTGAAGTGGAAGCCTATGGAATCCCTTTATTGGCATTGGATGGTATGGCTCAACAATGTGGTTATAAAAAGTTACGGTATTTTTTCTCCATAAGACACACCTGCCCGTAAGATGTACCTAAATTTAGAGAAGGAAAACAAGAAAAAATATTTTGAACTGGAATCTGAGAGGACCACAGATAAGTGTCCTCTCATGTGCAAACTCTGCCTATTAACTCCTGCACTGTGGAGAAGAGATAGAAGAGGCGGGCAAAGACAAAGATAGAAGAGGTGGGGTTCAGCACTGTAAAAGGACCCTACCGCCACAGCCCGGGTGCTATTCACCAAAGGACCAGCAACGTGACTTTAGGGGGGAAAGAAGTGTGTCTTATGGAACAAAAAATACGGTACCTATTTTTTTTTAATTTCTGCTTTCAGTCAAGATTAGTTTATAAAAATTCCCCCTACAAAATTGAACAAAATTATCAAGTGCCTCTTTAATGCTTGTCAATATACTATATTTCAGTTAGAGCTCTTGTTGAGGTTAAAAGCAATGGGTAATTTGCTATTTATACAGAATGTTTTGGGAGGTCTTAAATTTAGTTTCTAAAATGAATTTTTTATAGGTAATTAGTATTTGATTTCTGTATAAATGGAAGGACCATTTGGAGCTCCAGTTTGAATACGGAAATCAGATTCCTGGATGTTTGAATGTGGATGGTTCTTTATTTGCCTTGTTCTGAACTGCCTTCCTGTTCTGTATTTGGTTGTAGTTGGTGAGTCATGTAGACAACATTCAAATTAATCAAATATTTGGTTCAAGTTTTAGAGTAAATTAGTCTGAAGACAAAATGCATGTATGTCAGAAAAGTATGTCAAGTACTTCCCATAATAAGAGTTAGCATATATTACATACTTTAGGTTTGGATTATAAATAGTCCTTGACTTACGAACACAACTGAGTCCAACATTTATGTTGTTAAGTGAGACAGGTAGGAGGAGAGGTAGAGAGGGAAAGATAAGTCATAGAAAAAGAAAAAAGACTGGAGAAAGGAAAAGGAGAGGAGGTTTGGAGAAATTAAAAGAGAGAGAAGCCCAGCTGCACCCGAAAGGCCAACCCAAGAGACCGGAGGCCCATTGAAGTGAGGTGAGCAGAGAGGCAAACTGACTGTAGGCAGCAAAGCCAACCTGTGAAGAATAACGAGGTAGCTGGTGAGTCAGTGAGGCCAGCTGTGAAGCACGGAGGAAAAACAATTGTGGAGCAGAGATTACTTTTACTATTACAGATTACTATCCTTTTCTACTACTACATGTAGGGACGAATGACACAAAAAAGGATTTGAAAACAATATTGAATAATTATGAGCAGCTAGGCAAGAAAGTCAAGGACTTAAGCACACAAGTAGTTTTTTAATCTGTACTGCCAATGAAAAGATAACATCCGGTGAGAGAACAAAGAATTCTAGCAGTGAACCACTGGCTAAAGGGTTGGTGTCGCCAAAAAAACTTTGGATACCTGGACTGTGGTCTGTACTATCTCTATCATGGGCTTTTGACTAGGGATGGGCTACACCTCACAAAGACTGGGAAGAATGTTTTCAGAAAACAACTGGCTCAACTTAGCAGGAGAATTTTAAACTAAAATTGAGTGGGGAAGGTGACCAATCTTTAGGATCTCCAGGACCTAACTCCAAGGAAAAACCCCTAGAAAGCAAGTCAAATGATGAAATAAAGAGGGATGGGAAGGAAGACAAACTCAAATAGGAGACATAGGAAGCATACCCAGAGTCAAAGGTAAAGATCTCAAGTGCCTATGTACAAATGCACAAAGTCTGGGGAATAACAGGTAAACTTGAACTATTAATACATGAAGGTAGATATGATGTAGTTGGAATTATAGAAACTTGGTGGGATGTAACCCATGGCTGGAACATACTGATAGAAGGATACAAACTGTTCAAAAAAAAACAGACTCCATAAAAGAGGAGGTGGGAGTTGCATTGTATGTAAAGGACCACTATATTGCAACAGAAATGCACGAAACCAAAGACAAAAACCTCCAAGAATGCATATGCATCAATATAAAAGAAAAAAAAGAATGACATGGCCATAGGTGTATACTATAAGGCAGAGGTCTCCAACCTTTTGGACTTCAGGGACCAACAAACTCATAATTTTAAATCCTATGGACCACTAATATTAATTTTGACTGACAGTGACTTGCTGCCATTGGTCGGGGAGAGAAAGAGAGAGAGAGATCCAATCTAATCTTGGAGGACTGATGGTGTTTCTCTCTCTCTCTCTCTCTCTCTCTCTCTCTCTCTCTCTCTCTCTCTCT